CCCTTGATTTAAAATCAACGGTGTGTGTGTTTATGTCACCCTGAGATGATCTTGTGAACCTCAGTTTCGAAACACTAAAGGACTGCACTAAAACACATACTTTAAGATGACAGATTCCTATGGATTTTGTTTTTGTATGGGACTACTGTAATACTTATAGTATAAAGATCCTCTAGGTCATTTTGTCCTATATGACATGTGTTTAAATTCTCTATAGGATATCTATAGCATATACAAGATTTTACAGAACAGTACTCTAAGGTGGAAGTATGGAAATCCTATAGGAATGCATGTCTTAGAGAACTATTATATTTCAATTTACTACAGGACATCTTGAAGCCACCTGTAGGATTTTTTTGTGTGAAATTCCAAAAGAACATTTTTATAAAGGTTCGCATCCTTGAGTAATCTTATGAGAATTATTACTTACCTAACCTTTTCATTTCCATATCAACAATCATACCTATGTGGTGTTTTCAGGTGAAACTGAGTTAACTGTTAAGCAACCAGACAGATCCATTCAACTGGAGATTTGGTTAAGATATCAATCACGAAGTAATACTAAAATGTCTTACTAACCAAGTTCTGATAGTAAATGAAATAATGAAACAAGACATGAAGTGAAATGCAATATGGACAGTTCTTTATTACAACACAAAACACAAATATAGTGTGTGTATCTGCTTTATAGTAATGACAAACTGTCATTTACTGTCAGAGGTGTAAAATAAGACAACATCGTCTCTCTAGGTAGCCTAATTCTTTCTGTAAATCAAATTACCCAGAAATTGTTGGAAAGGAAAGGAATGTATTAAAAGAAAGTGGGAAGAACTGATTTATGTTTTCAAGACTCCTCTAAATACTTACAACAAAAACTACCTGTGGATTATTTTCCAACAGTTCAGTATATGATGAAAACATAAAAGCATAGAAAAAAAAAGGAATTTAGGCTATACTATGCTCCTGAAAGCCCTTGATTAGGTGGCGTATTTTACTGTTCATTACCACAAACTATTAATGAAAAATATTCAGCAATATTCAAAAATATGGATAAGAAAGCACTGTCGTTTTAAGCATTAAGACTGTCAATAAAGAACAGGCAATTCAAAATATCAAATATAACTTCTCCAAACAATTATGGCTTATTGCTGTTTTCATAAATAAAGATGAATATTACATACACTCTTAAAATATTATAAGACAAGGAAAACAAAAATTTTCTTAACATTTTGTTATAAAAGATGTTGAGTCTTAAGTATAGTCCATACTTGAAAGGAGATTTAATATTTCTCTATTATGTTATTTCTGAAGATCCAACATTACTTTCTGAAACCAGGTTCAATATATACATGAAAATGAACAGAAAAAAGCTCAGCAAAATGGGTCCAACTACATATAAAAGTTCTGTTCTTTATGTACAAATTTAAATTCATCATTAATTCTGACAAACAAGGAAGGAGTATGAAGTGGTATTCCTTCATTTTTTGTGAATCATTATATTTATATTTAATACACCGTCATTTAGTTGAGCTATCTCTTGAGTTTGTTTATGCATGACACCAACTTGCACCCTGTTACAATTAATTGTAGCATTACTCTCATAATGGGATAAAATTAGTCTTTATCACTGTAATGATGGTCATACATAAATCAATTTGTCACTCCATGTAAGTAAGTTGATCAGGTGTTTTGTCAACAGCCAATAATTGTTCTAAGTTGAATTGTAATCTCTGGTACCAATTACATGAGAAGTGAAGATTGGTAAGCTAGATGCTTGAGAACATGAAGTTTTCAGCTGGATATTGAAACTCAGTTAGTTTATAAATATTGTGAATCATAATTAATCATAGTTTGAAAGTAGATTTTGTGACAACTCACAAATTAAGTCTTTTTTTTTCTGGGTTTTTTTTCCTAAATTATTGTGCCAAAGTTATATCATTGAATATCAGTTGTGTTAACTGTAAAAATACAAGCCTGGCATTTTCAATATATGAGTATTTTCTGTTTAAATTTACGGCTCTAAAAATTATTCTGTTTTTTGAAGAACACTGATATTACAATTTCACTTTTTCTTAGTGTAGAACAACAGATTAGTTAGAGTAGCTTTACCTGAGCAGGTGGAAAGAAAAAATAGACACCATTTTAAAAGGTGTATCTTAAAATATAAACATTAACAAGAGAGGTCTCCTGAACACAAATAATGATGACATAACTCAATGTTATTTGGAGATGCAACTAAATAAAATCACTGACTTTATACAACTATTATTACAAATGGACAGAATAAATGATGTTTTACAGAACAATCTTAAACCACCTGCACTTACACTAAGAATATAATCTCTTTCAGAGGTTGTTTTGCTTTGATATGGAGAAGGTCATATAAAACATGAATTTGTTTCTTGATGTCATGCCTAAGCTCCAAAAAAGTATTTAAATGACAACACAGTCTCTACAATATTTATGTTGATGATCTGGTCATTCAGGAATCTTTGTTACAAGTTAACTAAATATGTTTTCTCAGTAGAAATAAAGGAAGCAGGGTTGAATTTTGAGATTAAAGTAATAAAGAGTAAAAGGTTTGGAGAATAGAAAACCAAACATAGAAATTGTTAATGGTATTTTATGCCAAGATATATTTTGCAAGATTAGCTATTTCTGAAATTTCTCTGAAAAGATATTGATGAAGGTAAGAAACACATGAGGTTCCTAACTCAGCTATCTACATATACATATGAATAGTGACTCTGATATTGTACCATATTGTTTTTTTAATGTAATATATGCTGATATACCCAAGTTGTGATGTATGTATGAATGTGTCTTTAAATAATGAAATATTTTGAAACAAATTTGGTTCCTTATTATAAGCACTGATGGCATCATTAGCTTAATTACAGTAATGATAAACACAATTGAACTCTCAGTACTATATACATAATAGCACATAGTCACAATAAAATAATAATTAATATGAACCATGAGACAAGCTGGGGTAAAAAATGAAAAATCCCTTGAGCCACATATATGTCTGTTTGTAAAAGAAACTGTAACTTAATACCAATACCATATAGATTTTTCCTAGTAAAGAGTGACAAACTCATGCTAACAATTACATTTAGATATTAATTTGTATTTTGCATTTATGGCAAGGCTATCTACTGCCATATCTATTTTTCAACTGCTGACCAGAATGAAGGCAGCCAGTCAACAGCTCTTTACCACCTACCATCCACACTAAGAGATAATACACCCACATCTTAAATTGCAAGGAATATTTAGTGATATCAAAATAATTCAAACCAGGCTCACCCAGCTCTGAAATCAAGAGCTCTTTCACAAGGCCAACTGATGCCATACTTAGATATTAAAAGATTTACAAGATGTTTGTAGAAAAAGCAGTATAAATTTAACTTCATACTATTCAATAAGTTTCAAATAACCAAAAAAAAAAACAAAATGCAGTATTTAATATAGTGATGCAAACAGGGTTAGACTCCTATGGAAAATAGTGTACTGTATAGGGTTAGCCAATGTGAAGACAAAATAGAAAAACTGAAACCTTTCAAAAACTATTGTTCAAGACAGATAATGCAGATAGGACTACGAAAACTATTCAACAATATAGTTTCTTTGCAAACCAGTGTAAAATAAGAAAAATACGTACACCAAAGTAAGTTATTAAGCTATCACAATAAATCCACACCTAAAATAATATACTAGAAATGTTCAACTGCTGTCTGCTAGGTGGTGCCACATACAGTTTCTATTCCAAGTAAGTGGCATGAGCTGAACTTTCAACATCTCTACAAGCTTACAAACATCACCATCTTCTCTTGTATGTATATAGAACTTTTAACTGTGAATTATTTCTGTTTCTACATCTAATTTAAGAGAACAAGAAGCTTATGATATACCATTCCAATCACTTCTTACAAAGCATTTCAACTACTATCACAACTTGCAGCCATGGTCATTTGAAACACTTTACAAATATAGTTCATCACCCAAAACTGATTCTATAAAGTTTACACTTATTACAGTGAACATCTTGTTTACTGTATTGCAACATAAGCAGCTATCTCTTTGCTAGTCATAACCATGAGGTACAATATATGAAGAAGCACACAGAAGATGCTCTAAAGCAGTGGCTTATCAACTTATTATTAGATTATTTATTTATTTCTAAAAATGTTGTGTTATCTTGTGATATCAGTAATGTTGGAATTAGTTTATTATTACTATATGTTATAAATTTGGCTAACAAGAATCACCATGCAGTTTGTGACTATTGTAGACATTTAGACCAATAATACCTTTTTTGAAAGTTAAACATTGTCAAGTCAAAAAACCAAAACATATTTAACACAGAAAAAGCGAAAAGTAGTAAAACCAATTGTCAGATCTGATGAGTGAAAGAAGATATAACAGTAAGTTGGCATATTGCCTTGATGATTAATTTAATCAGCTGGAACTTGTAAAACTGAAACAAAAACTGTGCACAGGAAGAACACAAAGAATTTTCCAAAATAAGTAAAATAACCTGAAAATATGTAAACAAAATATTAAGAAACACTGAACTAATGTTAAAGAAACAGTATATTAAACACTACATATTAACTAACCAAAAGGAAGGTATCACTTGAAGTCTCAGTATTTTCTTCTTCTTCTACTGATATTTTTCCAGCCTTCTGAAACTTCTGAAGGAATACAGTTATGGCTACCAATAAAGAAAAATTAATTTACAAGTTAAAAACAATAAGCATTAAACTTGACTAATTATCATTTTTTTGTATTAAGAAACTCATTGGTACAAAAAAAAGCAACAAGTCATAAGCTTAAAAATGACTCAACTAGCTTAAAGTTTATTTTTATTAAAGAAAATTCATACTTCTCTATTATTTCCATATCTTCTGAAAAAAATATGGTACAAAAAACAATTCTTTATCAGGTTAAGAGTATTTTTATATGAATAAAAAGTAGCACTCAAAATAGGAATATTCTGATAATTTAGTCTGTGTCTTAACAATCGAGATATTTTGGGTTGAACCTAATTTAAGTGATTTTTTACCATGGTCACATAGTTCTTCACATAAGGATACTTACTAATTGTCCAACCAACTGGTTTGAAGCAAAAGAAGGATTTAAGTGGTAAATGTTTTTGTACATTTTTTCTCAATAAACAGATGGGGAGTAGTTTATATTTTTATAAGATTAGACAAAATGTTCATTGTAATCACTTGGTATTGGAAAAATGTCATAAGAAAAATTACTAGAATCTTGATGTCTCAAAAGGTACTTGTATAAGCAATATATAATAGGCATATATTTAAATGCAAGTACTTCAGAGACTCTGAACCTGAAAAATAGAAGTATTAGATGACGAGACAGTTATTTTATTGAGTAAATATACATTTATCATGTTTTAAAGGAAGAAATGCTGATAGCATAAGTGAAATTCTTAATTTATTTTAGTATAAGTAAGGTAAATATATGGTTGTAACATAGCACTCGTACCTTGCTGTTTCTTATATGTGTGTGTGTATACACTTGTATATGTATACATATATATATATATATATATGTATATGTATAGAAGATGGTAAGTATATTATTGTTAGATATGAAAATAGGAAGCTAATAATATAAATATTGTGAACGATGCATTTTTGCTAAATTTAGATGTTTGATCCTTTCTTTTTTAAAACATGATGTATTGTCCTAAGGCTTTTAAAGATTAAGGTTTATATTAGCATCTCTATTTTAACCATGACCAAATTAATTATTAAATCTTAAAATTCAAAATTAAGGTTAAAGATCTTTACATCTTTACATAGACTTTTTATTTTCTTTCTTTCTATTACACCAAGAGTGATATAAATTTATGAGAGAAGGTTGATTATGGTCTTCAACAGCCTTAGAAGCATCGAATATTCTAGATGAGAGAGTTAGTGGGCAACACGTAACAGAAGTTACCCTAGATACCATCAGTGATTCATCATCCACCACCGTTCTCGTCCAGAGGTTGTTTCCATAATCAACCTTCTCTCCTTATTAAAATATAAATCTAGTTTTTTTTTTGCCAGCATTGTGTCTTTACTGCACCTAATACAGGTGTAAAGAGGTTACACACATACAGACCAAAACATATCATGATTCTAAAATTTATTACCTTTCCAGGGGATATTTGGCTTAGATCATATACCATTTTCAATTTCCTAATTTCTTGTTTGCCTAACTCTTTAATAATCCTCCAATTATAATAGTCAGCATTATAATTTTCCTATAATACTGAAAATGTATTTCTGATGGGAACTTCCCTCCGCTCACAAGATTAGTTATTCTCGTCCAGTGCTGCCCTCTATATGCAACTTTTTTTCTTTATGCATGCCACTAGCCTTCAGCTCCCCCCTATTGGAATTGAATGATTCCAACATGTCTCTCATGTAAATCATCATGAGTCACTTATCCACCAATAGGAACATGACATTTGGCAGCACTTGTGCTCGGATGTGTTCATGTTTGTTTGTTTAAAGTTTCACCTTTGACTTTAGTATACTCACAAAGTTCATTTATTTTTCACTTCTAATTTCTATTAAGACTTAACTTCACTTTAATCCCAGTTTATTACAGTCATGTTGTTATTTATACTTTCTATTATTGGTTGACTCTTCCTCATTATGAATTCAGAAGTTCATCTTACTACTTTGGGGGTCACACCTGCGACTAGTGCTATGTCTCAGACCTCAGGTGCAGGTGACCCAGGAGGGAATTTAACCATGTTTATTTTCCAGGAGATTGCACGTTACACGGGTCAATGTCTGTTTCCAGACCTTGCCCCACTTCCTCCTGAGCAAGCTGAGCTTGTTCAGGTGGACAAGGACTTGGATTGCTTATTTCCACCTCCTGATTTTGTCATGCCTTCCCATGCTCCACCTGAGGAGTCAGTTATGCCTAATACAGTCTTTTTTTTGGATTTCGTTTCTCAGGTATGTGACTTTTTATTCCTTTCCCTTATTTCCAATCTCCCCACTCCCATGCTGACCAGTTTTCCTCACAATTAGATTATGGGATTAACATGCCTCGCCCCCCATAAGCTTCGGATGAGTTTGCTTAAAAAGCTTAGTGGCTTAAGCTACTAAGTCTCCTTGACTAACTTTATGGATTAAACCACCGCTGGTTCATGAAAGCCTCAGTGATAACTTCAAAAGCTGGATCTATAAATCAGAACAACCACTTGAACACAAGTGGACAGTCTGCTTAACAAGAAATCATGTATTCACAGACAAAACCCTGTTTGTATCAGCCAGAGGACTTAGCATTCTGAAAAGGATAACAAGAACACTGCCACATCAATGTAGGGGTACCCACTACTTAAGTAAACACTTACTAACCTTTGACTATGTCAAGACCATTTGACCAATTTGTCTCACCTTACTCGAGGTTTCAATAGTTGTGGTAAACTTACCAGCGGTTATTTCAAGATTTGGAGAAGTACCACCAATAGTAAAATTCTTTGATTACAAAATACACTGTACATCCATTTCCTACACTAACCTAATTATACAGAAAATTTATATATCAAGTATGAGGTTATTTAATTCAACTTTTATTCCCAAAACACCAGTAAGTGTGATGATTTTCTCTGACTAACTAACTGGAATCTCATTAATGGTTTCAAATATAAGAAGCCACAAAGAAAACTGATTCTCAGGCAGGTACTTTAATCTAAGACATCACACTAATGGGACCAGTGCTAAACCTGAGTTACCTGAACTTGACTCTAACCTCAGATTTTTTTACCTTAAACATTAAAATATTCACTTTCCACAATTCTACGCCCAATTCTTTACTATATATACAGTTCTACACTCAAGACTTCAAGAAATACATGTTACACATTCTTCACATCTCACAAAAAATTAAACTATCAACATATGGCTTAGTTAACAGTAACTTAAACATTTTCCTCTTCAGTGTTTTCCTACATAGTTTCATACACATCTAACAAAGCTTTTTCACACCAATGTAAACCAGATGTGGCAACAGAAGATGTGCCGTCAATTACTTATGCCATGTTTATCATTTAGAAAATGTTACATACTGTGTCACATATCACAAATTTGTTTGGAAAATCTGAACTAAAATTAAATATTATTAAAATAGATGTCATAATATGGATTATTTCACTTAATTTATAACTCTTTTTAACTTCAATGTTTGTATTCCTCCTCCCATTCCTAAAAACCTTTATCAAGAGTGTTTTGTTTTTCAGGTCAGTGGCACTTTAATCACAATTCAGAGCTTAAAACTGGCATAACCATTATAAAGGTTGGCCACTTTGGTGTAACGTAAATTGAATACAGAAAATGTAACGTTTTACACATAAATACCATTTCCATTTCTGTTAAATCAACTTACCTTCAACAGCACCAGCTAGTGTTTGCCATTTGTGGTCTGGATTTTGACAAACCTAAAAGCAAATAATCTGTTTAAACATTAAAAATTCTTTTAGTAAGTATTTCAAAGTATCGCAAGTTATCTTTTTCTTCATAACACTACAGCTTCGTTTAGTGACTGACAGTATTTAAAAACATGCTTGAACAGATGTTAAATTTTTGTATTTGAAGCATCATCCTGGTAATAAATTGAAATAGTTTTTTCACTTGAAATAAATCATCTTTAGTGAAATTATAATACTAGTACTTTAGTGCATTACACTAATTTAACCTTAATAACCTATTCAATAACTTCATGTTTTAATACAGGGATGAAATTCTCAAAAAAAAAAAGGTAGAGGCACTCAGCTGGGTCATGTGGACCAGTTTTTGAAAAAGAAAAAGTCTACATGTAAACATAAAAAAATGACAGAATAGCTCAAATAAGTCCCATTACTAGTAATGCCTTAAAAAATAAGTTCTGGTACTCAGTACCTGTGAGTACTGGCAGAATTTCAGCCCTGCTTTAATATATTGTTGTAAGTTACATTTTTGGTTGTAATTTGTTTGATAATTGGGGCTTAGAAAGTTCTAAAGATTTAGCGTCAAGTATTCTAGATCATTTGAAGATAGATTACAAGTACAGAATAAATATTTTAAGAGTAGAGTGAGTTGAAAGATAGTCAAAAAGATAGTAGGTAGAGTTATTTCATAATAGAGAGTTGTTTCTAGCTGATAGTGAAACAGTTAGTGTATTTCAGTCTGTGTTAGCTATCATGCTTACATATTGAGTTACTTTATGGTATAAGTTGAATTTATATTAATCCTAGTATTGTTAGAGGGGTTTGAATGTCATTTGTAACATAGGCCTACAACAATTTATGACACAGTGTACAAGTGTTCAAGCTTGTAGAAAAATTAAAAGAAAAAATAAAATAACTTGTGATTGTTACATGAATTGCATAATGAATTATCTTCACTATATAACATTTAAGAACCCACCAATGATTGCACAATAGTAAAATAATATCAAGGAGATATAACCACATACCAAGGAACAGAAACAAATAATCATTATTTGACATATTGAAATTATTAAGATCAACTGAATAATTTAAATGAGAAAAGTAAAATATAATAACAGATCATGTATATCACTCACTAACTCACCTTAACTAAGTCAAAATAAAGTTGAAGACTTTCATCCACTGAGAGATGATCAAGGGTTATGCTTAGAGTAGCTCTAGACTGAAGACGAATAGCTGACCACACATCTGTTAAGCCTAGTAGCAACACACCCTGGTATACACAATGTATATGGTTACCTGTACTTCTCATTCTGAAATTACTTGTTGTACATAAATGTATCATATTCCAGGAAAATATAGTCCTCAAATTTCAGGGATTAATAATAATATACTTCTAATTTCCCTTATTTAAAAGAATCTTGAGGTTAACAAGATTCAAATTGACCAAGCATCTCTATATGCTTTACCAGAGATTAAGCTTATAAGCAAAAAAATAAAATAAGCCCTGGCAATAAAACAGGTTCAATGGCATGTGATATTACCTACAATGTCATTCAACTTTGTGCAATACCTATCAAAATTATATTTTGATTCCTTAACTAAGTCATTGAAAAATTGTACAATTATGTAGCAGTTTGAGTTGAATCTTAATAAAGACAAGGGTGAAAAAGACAACAGAAAAATTCAATCGAAAATAAGACAAAAAATTACACAAAAAGGTAAAAAGTATTTTGAAAAACAGTAACAATAACTATTAATTCAGGGGTTTATGCACGTATGCAATAACAAAAAGTAAAATGTTTATCTTGAAATTTGTCATTTTATACCACTCATAAAATACAGGACTTATTTTTTCAACGTTTTTTACCTGTTTGTGCAATTTTCTTTGTCTTATAGGATTTACACATGTATGTGATAATAGAAAAGTACAATGCTTATTTCAGAATTTGTCATTTCATACCATTCCTGAAAGCTAGGACTTTTTTTTTACTCTTTTACCTGTTTGTGTAATTTTCTTTGTCTTTTTTTTACCCGTGTCTTTATTACTGCCATTGGTATGAGTTTGAACCCATGTCCTGGGATTAAGAGTCTTATGTTCTATCAATTAAACCAGATGATGGGTTCCAATGTGATAATTTTTTCCTAATTTCATAATATATTTCCTTGCACTGGATTTGATTCCAATACTCCTGGCATAACATGTGAGTGCTCTACAAGCATAGCTAAAGGTCTAGCCCCCCCTAGCATTTGCCAGTAAGGCACTTTTTGACAACTCAAGCTATTACAAGTTCTTCCAAATACTTCCAACTGCAACAATATATCATGATTTATTGATTCTGTGTAAACCAAATACAATGTAAGGTTTAATGGTCTATCTTTCTAGGACTAACATAATATATACATATATAAGTAATTGGAAGTGGCCCGGCATGGCCAGGAGGTTAAGGCACTTGACTCGCAATCTGAGGGTCGCGGATTCGATTCCCTGTCACACCAAACATGCTCGCCCTTTCAGCCGTGGGGGCGTTATAATGTGACGGTCAATCCCACTATTCGTTGGTAAAAGAGTAGCCCAAGAGTTGGCAGTGGGTGGTGATGACTAGCTGCCTTCCCTCTAGTCTTACACTGCTAAATTAGGGACGGCTAGCGCAGATAGCCTTCGTGTAGCTTTGTGCGAAATTCAGAAACAAAAAAAAACAATAATTGGAAGCGAATTCATTTATTTTAAATTTTCATATCCAAATATTTTAAGATTTTACTTAACCTTCATATAACTAACTACTTTTTACAACATTCATTACTAATAAGGGTCCAGATATCGCATCACATTAAGCAATTTTAGGTGAAATCACTCGCTTTCTATGTAAAATACCTGCAGGACTCCAGTAGTAGATAGTGGAATTAATTACAGTGTTGATGGTATTTTTTGGTTAAATTTTTATGTTGATTCATATGTCATTAGAGACCCTGGAACCAATAATGTCATGGACCCAAAAGCAGATTTGTACCAAAATAATTTAGAAAAATGTGTTTAAAAGGCTGATGAAGTCTATATGGAACCCATCAGTAATTCTAAGGTCAAAAAGTAAACCATAGTTAATGATTATTTTGTTAGTTTGTACATAGAAATACTCAAATATATATATATTATTGTCTCAGAAATTTGAATAATGATAACCTAACAAAAATTAAGTTTAAAATTTCTAATTTACACAACCAACCTTAAAAAATGAGCAGTGCCAAATTATAATTAAATTCTATAGTAATTATTAAAAACTGAAAAAAATAAACATAATAAGAAATGACAAATATTTCAATATCAATGGCATTTATAATTTTAAAAATGAGCAATAGTTATTTAAATTCTATGAAACACCAATTCTTAATATGTTTAATTAAAAACTATAAACCATAAAATATAAGAAAGAATGTTATACCATTTCCAACTGGTAAAAAAAGAGTCCCAAAGTGAAGAGAAGATGAAAGGTAAATAACTAATCAAATCCTGGACCATAATCAGACATTCTTTTAATTAAAATTATGTTCAAATCCAGACACTCTTTACTTGATATTCATACTGTTACAACACCTTCAGTCAAACCAATAGCAATATTTTTATGCAAGCTTCTTGTAAGTTTAGTCTTTTCAACTTGCATCAGTTTATAACTATATTTTCAGGAGCCTATTAGTGGTATAAAAAATTACCAGTGATTTTTTTACATAAAATAATCAATGTTATACACAAACATTTTTATGCAATACTACTCAAATTTACCTGTATCTCTCTTAAAACACTAGGACATAGTTTTTCCTGCTTTCTGTTCTTAAGATATTGAAGAATGTTCTTGTGGAGAACCTTGTTCATTTCTCTTCTTTCTGCTGGCAAATCCATAGCTGATAAGAACAATAACATAAAAATGCATTCACCAAAACTTTAGTTTGTCTATAATCTCACAAAACCAAGTATTGGTGTGTTAGTAAAAACATTTGTGATACAAATCTAATATAAGTATCACTTTTGTGTTTGTAACACAAATTGCTATAATAAGAGCAAATACATATATTACATGTATACTTTAATAAGCATGTTGGATTAATAAAATATTATGACTATTATTGTTTAAATGAGCCAGTTTATTCTCCTTCTAAAAAAATTATTAAACTAGTGAAGATTGATAACAAAATACATAAAAGTTTCACCTTGATAACATTAGACTGGAAAAACTAAACAAATTACAAAAGAGGAAAATAAAATCTTGAAGTAATGGCAAAAAATAACTTATGTATGCAAAGCAGAATGACACACCATGAGACACAGGTTCAAAACTAACTAGTCAATGTCAATAACAACAATATACATATTTTTATACATAAAATATTATATCACTGTATTTGTAATAAAGACTAAAAGATATAATAATAAAAACATAAGTTAAAACTTTTTCGATTATGATTATTTCTTTCCACAAAGTCATAACATAATACTTTTAATATTTGAATACTTCTTCATATTGCAAAGAAATTAAAATATATATTGGGTGATGCAAAAGGCCTGCCCTATCATGATATTTCCAAGTACTGTTTTTAACATGATTTTTGAGCTATGTTTGTCTAACTAATTTCAATTTTTTAAATAACTGTTTGGGATGTTATTAACTTTGCAATAACATGTGAAAGTGATCCTGCTATGACATTGTGTCATGATATCAACAGCTGTGCACAAAATACACCCGGTAGCCAATTCACTTGTAAAAAATTGGCACTAACACGCTAATTATATATTTTCACTACTTCCAAACACTAAGTTTTCATAGCATTAAAAAGTAATACTGCATAAACTTTTTCCACTGCACTAAAGTACCTCATGCAAGAAGTAAGTCTCCTTTAAATTTTCATACTCCATGTGTAACACTTAACACTTCTCACTACTGAAACTCATTCTCCACATCACTCCTTAATCATTAAGACTTTTTAAGGCTCTTTCTTCTTTATTAAAAAAATAAAACATTATCCACAGAACCAGCTTTCATTAACATATTAGTCACATTATTAAGTTTGGAAATATTACTACTTCAGCATCTATCCAAACTGTTAACATAAATATTGCACAAAAAAGGTTAAGAAATGAACCCTTATGGGATGCCATTATTCACACACACTCAAATTTAAACATGTTCATTCAGCAATAAACAATGTTTCCTACTTCCCAGTCAAAGTAAAATCATTTTTGTAACCATTTCTTTAAAAATCTAACTTACTAATTATCCTTTTGCATTTTACCTTACAATAGGCTTTTTTAAAGTCAAGGCATACAACATATAATACTCATTAAAAAAAAAAAAGAGATAACAAAACACTATATCTTGACAAGTAAATACTCAAACATACTGGATTATACTAGACAAATATTTGGCTTCTAGTTTGAAGTTTATCTTAGCCAAGCTTTTAACAAAGGTTCACATCCACTTTAATCATTAAGATCAACAAATAACTTACTGGACTTACATATCATCACATGCTGAATTTCTTAAACTTAACCTCACCAGTACATTTAGTTGTTTATTAATCAATGTGCATGCATTTATAAATTAGATATTTGTCATTTCACTTAAGTTTTAAGATTAAAGCTATCTAGTTCACTATAAAATTTTATATGAAAAACATAGGTCATAAACATGGGTTTCTAATCATTCTATGAGAGACAATTACATGTGCACATGGAATTCTTCAATTTCATTTCATTAAAAATATCTGTTAAAATTAAATCACTGAATCCAGCAATACATATTTTATACGCAAAATTTATTTGAAAAAAAATCAATATATCTAAGAACTTATGAGTGAGAGCAAACATGAATTTATAACAATATCCCACTACTCCTATTATATCTGCTGTCTCTAGTGCTGGAAAAGCCTCTTGCTTAGCATCAAGGCTCATCAAGCTGGGATACAATAGGCATAGTAGTGGTTGAGATCCTATTTATATTATCTAAGTAAACAGTCTGAATATTCTGAAGTTACTAATTTGTTAATTCCTTTATATGTTGTCTTTTCAAGCATTTATAAATAATGTTGTTAGTTTTCTACACTATACATCTACTTACCAATGGTAATTGAATTATTAAAGAGCCAAAGCCAACAGGAACACAAATCTTGCATAGATATCCTAAAAAAATACCAAAATATTTCAGGTTATTAATTCAACTGAACATTGTAACGTCAAGATAATGAGCCTCCAAATCTGTTAACCTTTTTTATTTTTACTTACCACTGCAAAACCTTCTCCAACAGAGATTGTATTTCTTCTTCTGGGATATTTTTTTCGCTTTCCAAATTTGAGCTTAAATTTCTAATATCACCTGAACAAAGCCTGACTTTCCAGCTGAAAAGAAGAGAAACCAAAGAGGCTGCATCCTTCCACATTGAAGGATAAATCCTGCAAACATTTCCATTAAGTCCTTTTCGAGAACATCTATGTTCCGTATATCGTTTAGGGCTACTAGATAATTTGTGTAGTTCACTACTCAACTCCTCTACAGTTTCTCCAATATCTTCATAATTACATGACACTTCTAAAGACCTTGCTTCTCTTGCTAGAATATCAACAACCACGCAAAAAGGAGCATTCGTTAAGGCTTGGGAATGAACTGAACAACATTCCATTGTCTTTAATCTTGGTGACTATGGGTACACTTTACGTGAAACACAAAGAATCAAGTGTTATTATTTATTATATTAACAATAACATTGCTTGCTGCATGAGATTGAGAATGTATAGCGTAATTCAACCATTGTGTTTTAGACTACAAATTTGTTTCTGACAAAATATACTCTTTACAACACGAATATGTATATTCCAATATTAATAATATCTTCACCAATAACTATCGAATGTTCCTTTTTCTCCAAAGTTTGTCAATCGGCAAACAATTACGAAACTAGTTACTACTATACAACCATTATCTTACTACTTGCACAAAGCTCCACATCATCTCAAAAGGCACGTGGGTTAATAATTTTTATCACGTGAGTCAAGTAGTTTTATTTTATTAATCAATCATTCACCTAGACCTACGTCAGGGTAAAGCCAATCAGAGTATTTGATATTTGGTTGCTATGACAACTAATGGGTTTTTCTGTTTCACAGTGCTAAAGTGCAAGTCACTCGGAAATAGTTCCACTGTGGCTTTGTTTGTTTGTAGTTAAGCGCAAAGCTACACTATAGGCTATCTGTGCTGTGCCCACCACTGGTATTGAAAACCGTATTTTTAGCGTTACAAGTACGCAAACAGGCCACACTGAGCGACTTACAATGCCATAACCGGAGTTCGATTCTTAGCACTGGATAGAGTGCAAATAGCCCATTGTGTAGCTTTGTGCCAAAAAAAACACCGACACACAGGAATAATAATATTAGATTGTTTGTTTGTAATTAAGCACAAAGCTACACAATGGTTTATCTGTGCTCTGCCCACCACGAGTATCGAAACCCGGTTTCTAGCGTTGTAAGTCCGCAGACATACCGCTCTGCCACTGGGGAGCTAATATTAGATAAAAATAATCATAATTATTTGTAACAAAACTATTGATACAACAAATCTGGTGTCCAAGATAAGAATTGAAAATAAACATAGTAAATTTAAAATTGTTGATCCTAAAAATACTGTTACGTCTCCGTGTGTTAATTGATTTTCCGTAACTTCGTTCTGACGAAACTTAAGCGACACAAGTCTTTACTTAATAAAACTGGTTTATTCTTTCCGAATATAACTTTACCGATACACTCAACTTCAACAATCGCGCTATATCAACGAACGTCAATAATACTTCTGACCGCAGATCAATTACACACTATCCACCCAGACATTACATTCCCCTCTTTTATATACCAGCCTACCCTATATCTAGTAAGAACTAGAACATTCGCCAAAGTACATGATAGTTCTAGAAATGTTACGTCACAGTAGTCATGTGACTCGATGACGCAACAGTATGTTATTAATTCAGAAAGAAAATCAATGAAATGTGACTGGAAAAACAGAGAGAGTCAGGAAATTATATTTTCTAAGACTTGTATGAGCTTTATTTATTCCATAAATAAAATGCATGGAATAGCACCAGAACACCTTCATGATAGCTCAAAGCCACTTCAACTACAAATAGATCATGCATTTCTGTCAAAGAAGAATGAGAGATGGCACACAGTCAACTTTCCAGGGTATAGATGGTATTAATTGAAGTAAGTGGTGTCCCACCTGTAAAAAGATGTTAAAAGTGACTCAACATTTATTTTGACTTTAATTTTCAGAATGAAATGTATTTTTAATAAATTTCATTTTATTAGTTTGATGTTTTTCTTTAATTTCAATTCCTTTTTTAGTTCAAGTATACAACTACAGAAACTCAACTATTAAAATAACTTGTAAAGTTGTAATTGAGAAAAATTGACCACAAAAAACAAACAAACAAACAGAAAAATACTGTACTCAACAACCTTATGAAATTCGTATATCAAAATAAATATACAAACTGAACTATAATGACTAAAAACTTAATAAAATGGACCATGACAAACCTTGGTGCTCATATGAAGCACTGGATAACTAATTTGCTTATGTTTAGCTCTAGATGGGCAGTTTTCTGCAAACACTTACATAACACATAGATATTTATTCAAACAATTTTTTATTTTCAGACATACATAAGTTAAGACTATATCCTATCTAGTATTATGTTCTGGACATTATATAATTATCTATCACTGTTTTTTTCTTGATGCTTAGCTAGACAGATTGTCCCAGAAGTTCATTGCACAGCAAATCTCCATGATATTAGACATCAAAATTCTGAGCCATTGCTTCCCATTCACATAATAATACTATCTGTAAATTATTGTTAGTGGTTTTCATAACAAATTCAAAAAACTATAGAAACCACAATTTCAACATGCAAAGAACTGCGCTTACCACAGAGTTCTTGGGAGGTACCTCCACTTCACAGTCCAAACTATGTTGGTGACTTGTACAGTTCTCACTCTTTGAACAATCTAGTCTGACCTTTACTGTACTGTGTGACTGTTGGATGAAATAATACTAGTAAAATATTTACTATCAATCAGATCTGAAATAAACTATTATACACAGTCAAGTTTAGGAAAACAGACTGATAAAATGTTGTGCTTTGCAATCATTTGGAAGAAAATCAGAAATAATTCTACAGAGAAAATAAATTTATCAGTGTTGAAATCATACATTAATAATAACTGAAAAAGAAACTAGAAAAGAAATAAAAAATAATTTACCCTGATAATGTCAAAACTAATAAACAGAAATAAATTAGATATGGACTGCAAATATATGTTACAAGGTTTGGATGAGAGCAAATGTTTATTTGTTTAGAAATTTGCACAAAGCTAGAGAACAATTATGTTCATTTGATTATTTTTTTTTAAACCTAAAAACCTGTTTTAGTCTTACCCCATTTGAAAGATACTCAGTAATTTAATCTGAGAATATAGCAGTTTTTGCTAGGAAACTGACTAACACTGAAGTAACACCTTTCTTTAGAACATTCTGTCTTATTTGGAGGGGTGATGCATCTATATTTGAACTTGAATGATTTTATTTAACAAAGTAAATGGCTAAAATTTGATAAGCCATGTGATGTTAAATACTTCTTTTTTATAAAAATTATTTTCCTTTCCAGAGATCCTAAATTTCTATACCTAAGAATAACAATATTATTTATAATACTATTGTTAAAGTAGTGAATTGTCAAAATGTGGATATAAAGCATTCCAGTAAAAGAGCTTTCTAGTTGTGGGTCCAGTATATATACCTAACAACATGTTAGACATTGCAATTATTACTATACTATTTGATTAATACTACATATCTCCAATCTATCTTTAAAAACCATGAAAAACGTTATTTTACTTTAGTTTCAAATAAACAACTTAGCTGATAATGGGGATAAAAACTTTTATAATTTGTTTATTCATCATGGATGAAATTAAAACATTATATTTTTAAATTACATTACATTTAATATTTGGAAAGATGAATGAATGCATGGTACAAAATTAAGTGTCTAAAATATATCTGAATCTATTGACAGAGGGTTTTTCAGTCATTCAGTGATCATTATGACATAGCATTGTCATACATTGAGTTTTTCTTATGTGATTAAGAGCTGTTTTAGAACATACACAATTGGGGACACTCAAGTTCAACAAAACTGTCTGGATATGATAATTTCTTTCATTATTAGTACTAGATTTTATTTACACACTATGATTTTAGAGCTACTTTCCAGTTTCCATGGTGGCTGCTGTCATAATTTAGTATACTTGCAGTAGATACATTCTTTATCCATTGCATGAGATAACCATACAGTGATTGAAAGATGGACACAAAAATAGTTTGACATATTTCAATGTGTACAGCACAAATGACAGTGCATAGTTATGTATCAGACAGCCTAAAAGATAGTCTTCACATAAAAAAAATGTTTATATACAATCTTTAATGCATTTTTTAACTAGACTTTTATATTATTATTATTTTTTGATGAACAGTAGAATGACAGCAGCAACAACAAACATTTCACATGTGTGTGTGTATAGTAAAAACATTTACTCTTTCGAAGCTCTAATCACATCAAATAATTCTTGGAATATTTAAATTTGAAACACCCTGACATTAATTTTACTTGTTAAACTGAAAAAAATGGTAAATTGCCTTTTCTTAATATCTAAATTAGTAGATTAGATAACCATTTCACATCTCTTTATTGTAAAAAAACATATACAAGCTTACATAATCAATTCGATAGTTTTATTCTGAATTCCTTTAAACGTAACCTTATACTGAGTCTTCTCAATAAAGCATATAAGATTAGTTCTAACTACCGCCTTCTTCATACCAAAATGACCACTTTACAGAACATTCCAATAAACAACGGCTATCCCTTGCATTTTATTCAAGCCCTAATATGCAAGTTCTTTTCTCACAAATTTGAACACTTAAAGAAACCATACACTATTAACAAATACCCATTAAGACTGTCCATTTCTTTTTTTAGGTAAGCAAAGTTTCATAGTGAACTCACAAATTTTAAGAATAATTAAAACGTTTTATCTACAAATTCAACTACAAATGATATTTAAATCACCTTTCAAAATACAAAACCTATTCAGATCTAAAGACCTATTACCTACCCCTATGCATTACAAAATCATATATAAATACACATGTGGTGGCTGTAATGCTACATACTTTGGCAAAACTATATGCCAAATACACCTGAGAGTCTGTTTATTCACACATATATAGTGAAAACAACAACCACTCCATCTTGATAAGGAATTTCAGTGCCATCTCATCTAAAACATCAAATATTGAACTTTTGATTAAAGAATGCTTATCTATAATACATGAACTCCCAACTTTAAATAATAACACAACTTCACTGCAATTAAGTCTGTTCTGAATAACTTGCATAATATTGTTACAAATGTTGCATTATTCTATTCTTTCTTGTTTATTTGTTTGTCTTTTAATTTATTTTATCCTTTTACTCTGCATTTTAAATTACTTTTTATAAAATGATTAAACTTTATAAATATTTGTACCTAATATTTTACCCTATTCAGCAAAGCTTGCTAAAGATGGAATACGTATATTCTGAAATGTTCAAAATTTAAATGTTTGTAATGTTTGTACACACGTGTCAAATGTTCATTGTTGCTGCTGCCATTCTACTGTTCATCATTAAGCTTCGATTCCCGTTAAATGAATCTGTTGCTAATGTTTATTATTTTGACTGTTAATATTTTTGTGTGTTCTTATATTTTAAATGCTATTGAACTTCTGAAATTAAGCAAATACACACAGTCATCTTTAGTTAGAACTACTTATGAAAAGGGTAACTTTTCCATAACAGGAATAGGGTGAGCAAGTTTTCCCATTAAATGAATCTGTTGCTAGTGTTTATTATTTTGAACGTTAATATTTTTGTGTATTTTAATATTTTAAATGCCACTAAATTTCTGAAATTAAGTAAATACACACAGTCATTTTTAGTTAGAACTACTTATCAAAGGGGTAACTTTTCAATAAAAGGGACAGGGTGAGCAAGTTTTGTAGCAACGTTGTAATTAAATTAGACAGTTCAAATAATTGAAAATATTAATTAGAAACCCTAATTTTAAATAGTTTATTATTTTCATGACATTTAACTTAATCATAATTTTGATTAATGGGTTGGTGAAATAATCAAAAATAGTAATAATGGGAAACACTTCCTTATCTTGGAAATTCTTAACATGAGTGTATAATTTTTGTTGTTGAAAAAGAACTGTTACATACCCTTTCCAAAAGTAATCAATTTTTGGTGGAATTATATTACCTACAAAATGCTAAAGAATGTCCAAATGTAGTTCTGCTACATCACATTCCACCGTGACTATACATCAACTGTGATTATCCTGTGATTAGTTGACTTACAAGTTCAAAATAATTTTAATATAACATTCTCAACTCTCTATTCTAATAAGCTTTTACAATAAAAATTAACAAAAAGTTACTTTTAAACAAAACATTTATTAAAAAAGTAAGACCATACTGTTACAACAGCGGAAGTCATGTGATGCTGCTGATGAGTTTTTTTGAATGATCGGGGAAGTCCAAGTGTGTTGAAGATGCCCCTTTGTCAGTATATAAGACTGGCAGAGAAAGCCAGCAGGGTTAATGAAGAGAGAGCAGTAGTTACTTTGAGTTCCGTGTAATTTATGATTTTTGTTAGTTTTGAGCTAGTGAGCCATAAAATGTGTGTTTTGCACCCGTCGAGAGCAAAATTATCAAGATTGTGAATCGCTGTGTTTTATAGCGTGTATTATAAAAGTTGTTAAGTTTAAAGTGATGAGAAACGTACTGATTGTGCAACTACTGTGTACTAAAAGTTTGTACCGAGGAAGAATAAACTGGTTTAATCAAGAAAGGGCTTGTATCGCTGAAGATCCTTGGAAAAATTTCTACAGGAAACAAACAAACAAGCAGATATGTAACAATACTTACAACTTTTAACACTATAGAGTTACTGAATAAGATCCACATGGAGCTCCATCATATTTTTTGTTTTTACATAAACTACTTATACATGAAGTTGCTTGTTGGTTATGAGGTCCTTCATTACATGAATCATACAAAAAATTACACAAAAATACCTTCACTGTTGTAATTAATCCCATTTATTACTGCTGGGACCCGCAATATATTTTAGATAAAAAATGAGTGATATCATACAATATTTTTATGATCCAATATGTAGACTACACTATTAGTGTATGGTATAAGAACATGCTGATGATTTGATGGTAAAGTAAAACTGACAACAGGATGCAGATGCACTATCTTTGTTGGTACAGCTTTACAATACAAGTACAGTTTATTATGTAATAGGTGTTTGACTTATAGTTTCTGAAATTTTCCTGCTATAGTACACATACAAAAACATCTGTTACTTACATCTTCATGTAACTGTTGTACAAATTTCATATTTCAAGTTTCTTAAATTTTATTGAAGACTAGCTGGAATACCTGTCCCATTGGACAAGTGAAATAAAATCTTTTTTTGTAACAATGGATAGGAAATTGTGCTTCTATTTTGGTTTCTTAACATAATAATAACAAACATTAAAAGTGCAATAAAAATACATAAAGGTACCAATACAGAAAAGAAAGACACACTGTTTCAAACAACTCTATCAATGTGAAATTAGGTTATGGACAATGAACAAAATGGGAATAGAAAATGTATGGCAGATTTTCATTTATGGTCTTAAGCTTTATTCATCTTGTATTTGAATAAAATTGTTAATTTATTTGCCATGTTATGTTCAGTTTTGTAATGATATAAACTAAACAAATAAAAACTGTGAATAAAACAAAACTGTGACAAAAAATTCTGTGTCCCTTCCACACAGCTTATACTTTAAACTTCCTAAAAACAATTCTACCACTGTCCAATATAATTTCTTATCAATTTAAACTCTTCAATGAAATCCATTCAATGT